CGAGAAATGTGGTTTCAACACTTGAAAATTTTGTGATAGCCTTAAAATATATTTTTATCTTTATTTATAAAGTTTAAAGCTTCAAAAATAATGTAGATCGATAGACCTATGAAAACTTGAAAATCTTAAAAATTGAAGGTACAAAAATGTATTACAAAATACACTATTTCCAAAACTTGAAATCCATTTTTTTCTCATGTCCGTGCATCTTGGGGTCGAGATGATCAATTTGATAATATTGGGTCATCAAAACAATATCTTCTAGCGAAATTTTTGAGGTAGGCTCTAATTTGATTGTTTAGAGCCTCAGCTCTATATAAACTTTTCCCCATAGATAATGGTCAATATTCATTTGACCTGGATCTATTTCCTATTAATAATCAGAAAGTAATTCCTTGTTAATTTGTAATACTTACTCAGACAAAAAGAGAACTTACAGTTTGTTAATTCACAAATCACAAGCCCATTCATGAGGGTTGAGTTTAGAAATTTAATTTTGAAGTAAATAAATAAATAAAAGGAAGTTTATCAAAATACTCACAAACTATTAAACACTTTATGCTTTTGGGACTGTTCCAACTCGAGACCATGTATTCTTTTATATGTAATTTGAAATTAAATGAAATGATATTAATAAAGTGGCTTATTAGTTAATCTTTCATAGATAATTTGGTAAATTTTTCATTGCTAAATAAATCTCATTACAAAATAGGGATATAATTGGGTAGGAAAATTACCTTTAAAAGTTGAAGGCACGTTTTACGTGTATGAAAATATTTTTATGAAAGTAGTTTTATATGAAAGAACTCCCTCATATGATTAGGTGTTGAAGTATTTTCACATCAATTGGTTACCAAATAGTGTGAGAGTATGTCTTGGGATCAATTAACTTGAAAAAATTTTCACACCTAATCATATAGAGGAGTTCTTTCACATGAAGATACTTTCACAAAAACATTTGTACACATACCAAATGTAATAACAAGACATACACAACATTCTCAAGCATTATTGTTGTTATAAATCATTACTATTGTTTTTTATATGAAATTATTCGTCAAACAAGGAAAAAGTTTATATAAGGACACTACCTTATAATGTAGAACTACGGATGCCCCTCAAAAATCCATTGGAAAAGGTAGTTTTAATATTTAAAAACCATTTGATTGATCATCTCGACATCGAGAAGTATGATTATGAAAAATAAAAATATTTTAAGTCTAAAAAATAGTGCATTTTACAACATATTATCTACACCGTCCATTTTCAAGATTTTCATATGTTTATAGATCTACTTGATTTTAAGCATTTTTTAAATTTAAAATTTATAATTAGATATAAAAATAGATTTTGAGATAATCCTAATAACATATTGCATCAAAATTATATATCATGATGAAATTGGAAGGGTACCGTACCTCTATACCTACGCAGGCGTCCGTATGCCAACTGCACCCTTCAAACAATTACATTTGTAATTTTGTATCTTTGAAAATCAATGAATATAGAGATTGCATGCTATAAGAATGTTGACCTTTCGTGCAAAACAGCCGCAACAATCTTAGAATTTAGATGTGAAATTGAGCTAGAATGTCAATCATTTTACATAAGTGCACTTTGTAGACATCCAACCCCAATACTTTTCATATCACAATCTTAATCCATTGTTTTTCCGTACTTTTACCCTTCTAAGTCAAAAATGTAATTTTTACTATGAAACTACTTTTTTAGTACTGTACCCTCGTGTTTTCATCAACTCATGCGCAAGTTGCTTGAAGCAAAATTGGGTATCGGTTCGACACAAAATTTGCCGGACATGATAGAATTTTCCCAAAAATATTGTCCGGCATGGGCACAATAAAACAAGGATTACAATACCATGGCCAAAATTTGATCGGGTAGAAATGTGTCGGACCGGTTATCAAAACCTACAAACCAGTCCAACACATTTTCTACTGGACCGTATTTTTTGCCACATTATTTCGGTCTAGCGTATTTCTTACTAGACCATTACAAAAACAACGAAAAAATGCGGTCCGGCACAAAAGCATGTCGAACTGGTAGTAAGGCTGTTGGAATTGAAGCCTGAAGCCGGTCCTACACACTTTTATGTTGGACCAAAAGATGATCTAACGGTCTAACACAAAAGTGTGCCAACTTTTATTCTAACTTCAAATCCCATAAGCTTCACTACCAGTCTGACACACTTTGTGTCGGACTGCACTTTCCTGTTTCAGGCAGGGGAAGATAGAAAGAGAGAGAAACTGATATCCAACGAGGAGAGAGAGAGAGAAACAAATATCAAATAGAGAGATATTTAATGAGTAAGGAAAGATTTAAAGGGTACTTTAATCTTTAACATATTAACTATTTGATTGGGTAAAAGCATGAAAAAACGATAATTGCGTTAAAGGTATAATATGAAAATTATTTGGGGTTTAGATATCTACAAAATACATTTAAGGGCTATCCATAATTTGATATTAAATTTATTTTACTTTTTATGATATATCTCCAACCAACCAATTTTAAAATTAATAAATTAATGGCTAGAGGCGATTGTGATTAGGTTTATTAATGGGCCGGGAAATCCTTGTGCATGTTTGGCCCAAAACTATACAAGGAAGGCTTGGGCCAAACCCAAAATTTAGCTTTTGGCTTGACCCAAGCCCGACCTAGATTCAATAACGAGGGGGTCTAGGCTGGTTGAGTCCTATATAAATATCTTATATAAAAAAATACTTTTAATGTATCGGGCCGGGCCTAGCTTTTTGACGAGCCATATTTGAGTATTTTTTCATACGTACACGCTTTGACACTCTTCTTTAAGCTTTTCTGAAAAAAAGGCGCCAAATGCATCGCAAGAAAAACTACTTGGATCAGTCATTTCATTTCATTTCATTTCATCATACACAGCAATGCATAAATCGTAGTCCATAAAAAGCCCATGCTCCATGCTCCATAGTCCGGAGATTCCAGACTCTTTTTATTTGGGCTTCGTATTTTCTCTTTGCATTTTTGGGGCAGCCATGGCTGAGCAAAAACAGAGCGAACCAGAAGAGCTCAGCAAGAAACAGAGAAAGGAAATCGCAAAATGGTTTCTTATCAACTCTCCTCCTGGTGAGATACAGTACGTCGCCAAAGGTACCCACCTTCTCTTTCTCTCTCATGCCCCACATTTCTCTCTCTTCCTTTCCTTCTTCAACCCATTCTCAACCACTTTTTTTCTCTCTCTCTCCAATTTCTCCCCCTCATTGATTATACCTTCTTCCTTTAATTCAATTTCTTTCACTGACCCATCTCTCATTAATTCGTGCTGATTCATCTACTATTTTCTAGTCGGTTTCTCTCTGTAACTGCTTCGAATCTTGCTCTCTTTTCATTCTTTATTATCAGTCAATCTTTTACTCATTCATGCATTTGTTGAAGGTTGAATTCGTTAAATTCTTCTTTGATCCATTCACTCAATTGTTAATTGTTTTATTGTTTCCCTTGAATTTATGCAGATGTTGAATCACTTCTGATGGATGAACATGTATACGAAATGGCTGTTTCAGAAGCCTTTCCACTGTATAATAAAACACATATGATTTGCCTTGAAATGCCCAATAGAAGCGGTGAGGTATGCCCCATAATTCTTGTTTTCTCTCTCCAGATTCTCATGGTTTTGAATCGTCCATGGTGCTGTTAATTTGGGTTTCTTCTTTCTTGATCCACAGAATAGAATTTGAAATATAGAATTCTTGTCCCATCTTGATTTTAGAAATAGCCAAGTACATTGGTTGAGGATTATTAAACTTGTGTTACCAATGTACAGTGTGGAAAAATGGGTTGCGGTGCTGTGCATGTAGCCTTCTACTGTATAGTACACTTGTGTATTGGGCAAATTTTAGTGCAGTGGAATCACCATATGCGTAGAACTGCAACATTTTTTTTAGTATCGATTTGATTGTATATTCACTGGTGAAGAATTTGATTCCAATGTTTAACTTGCAAGTTCATTTTCTATTTTGGTTCTCTGATGAGGTTGTGCAGCACACTGTTAGTTGCCTGAGTTGGCGATCACTGTAAAATATGTCGAGGATTGCATATCGAATATTCCATATTTCCATTAAATACCTTTGATCCATCTTTCAAGATTTGTCAAGTTTCATTAATTGACTTCTAAAAATGAACTATCCAAGGTCTATATTTGCTGTTACTTTTATTATGTTTTTTATGTCACTGAACAGTTGTCTCGTTCGATGAAATTTTCACAAGATTCATAGTTTAGGGCTTCCTTTTGCATATACATATTTACCCTGCCAATGATTCTCTTGCTAGGTTGCTGTCCCACCTGTCACTGACCTTGTTATAATCCCCATCGACCTTAATCTACCGTAAGGAGTTGTGAGCACGATACCTAATGGGTCCCATGTTAGAATTGAAGATGATTGTTGACTATGATTCATCTTTCAGAAAGGTTCTCAACATTCTTTTTTTTCTTTTTCTTTGTTGGTCACATTCTTTGTAACAATCTTCTCAAATATTCATGGTATAGAAGTGCATTTGATGTGAGTAGTATGGGCTCTCTGTTGGAACAAGGATAACAGGTGCTGCTTTTTACCAATAGGGAAATTTGAATTATCAGAATTCTCCCTGTCCTTTTCTGTACTTAGAAATAGAGAACATAACAAAATTAGTTGTAGTTAATGGAGAAATGTGTGCCTGCCAGGTATTTATGATCTATATAAATCTTAGTATCTTGGTTTAGATCCTAGACTGAATTTTGAAGTAAAACCACAGCATGATTGGTAGGACACACGACTTGCATAACTGAAAAAATCGCAATGTGAAAACATAGGCTATCACAAAGTACGTAAAAAAGAGAACTAGTTCCTGGAACTAATGAGGCAAATAAGGTGCTGAGGTACTTGTGTAGCTTAGCTGGAGCTGATTCTGAAAGCAATGCAACTAATGAGTAAAATAATGTTGATGAAGACTTTCTCAATGTCAAGCAGTGGTGGTGAGGATAGTTGGAGCTGCTTTCCATCAGCTACTATTCCTCTTCACTGTTGGCAGTTGTGAACCTATGGGATGAAGTTCGGGTATTGTCCCATCTCCTGTAAGCTTTCATGTGGTCTGAGCCTTATGTTTTGGTAGCCCACCCATGTCACTTGAGCCGCAGTGATGAAACAAGTGATATGGAGATTGACACCTAAAACATGGTCTCCTGACCAATTGATTCTACATGGGTGAACAGGGCACAATAGTCAATGAAATTTGACCTGTAGCTTACTGGTTGCAGTGTAAGGGCTGCAACACTTATGTCCAAAATTCGATTCTCAGCTTACCCACCATGTAAAGCACTCTATTATTGTCTTGTGGATTAGATCTAATGCACAAAAATAAACTGGGGCATATCAATATTAAGAAGGTGCCCCTGAATGAATATTATTGTCAGGTAAATGTGGCAATGTGCCATAATGACTGAAACGTTTTTGAAGTTCATTTGGAAACTCAGGATTTGCATTGGTGATGAGGGTTTAACCGAGGATGAAGTTTGCTTAATCTAGAAGATGTTTAAGGTTTTGATTAAGATGGCATTGGGCTTTCCTTAGAGGGCTCTGACTAATCATTTGGTTCTTCTCCGGCCCCTTTGGTTGTGGAAGGGAACTATTTGAATGTTATTTGTTGGATAAGTGTGTTGACACCATCTTAGACGACATGCAGGCATCCTACATGTGACAGTAGAGATTTCTAGTTCTCTAGACTTCTTGCTTTAACCTTTTCGTTGGGAACATAATGCAGAAGCAGCTTCCCTGGCCTGATAGAGTTCCTAGAATGAGATTGAGGGTTTGGGATTCCTTTCCCTATGTGTAGTATGTACTTTATCTTTGTCATGTGCCTCTTGTACTAGTTCATAAATCATAAATCCGAGTGAACCATGAGAAAGGCATGTACCACAAATGCCTTTCTATAGGGGATGAAGATATGTGCTTTCTGATCTGTATTTTTGTTGTTGTTATTTTGTTTTGCTGTTGAAATCATATCCAAAAGAATCATTATTTTCTTTTTTTAATTTTGCCTTGGTTTGGGATTTCACTGTAACAAATCATAGTCATTGCTTCAGCAATACATACTCTAGCAGTTCATTAGGAAATGGATAATCTACTTCACATTAGTTGATTGATTAATTATATATATTTTTCAGGTGTTGATTACAGCATTTGGAGAACTTGATGGAAGTCACTACCTTGATCCAAGAAATGCACAAGTTGCAACTGTTGACCATGTGAAACAAGTAGTTCTTCCTTGTTTGGTTGATAACCTTTTTTATGCTTTCCATTGAGATCTTTTCTTTCATCATTCTTAGAGTGGCTTCTGTAATTCAGATGATTCACATGTACTTTTTTTTTTTCTTTCTTAATACGATATTTCACTTGTCATTTATAGCTTTTTTGTCTTTAAGGGCAGTTCTAAGCACTTTATGCCTTATTTGTCTTTTTTCTCCTAGTTTTATCCAGGAAACACTTTCCAATTATACAAAGTTTTACTGTTTATCGATTTATATTACTTAACAGTAGGAATAAGCAGGTCTCTGATTGCAGTTAGTTTTACTGATACAAATGGATTCAGGTTTGTTCAATGGTGAGACCTGCTACAGATGATGAGCTTCCTTCCTCGTATGTGGAGGAATTCCGGTAGGTGTGGATGACTTTACTGCTAGAGGTTTTTCCGTGTGTATGTTTGTGTTCGTGTTTGTGTGTGTGCGCATGTCTGTGTGTGTGCGCATGTGTGTGTGTGTGCATGTGTGTGTGTGTGTGTAAAGTTTGTCCTCCATCCCAAGCTAGCCTTCCATTGCATTTGATTAGGCCACAGCTCTTGATTAATTTTTCAATATATGAGTTGAAGTTGGCATGTTATCTTTTCTCCCAAGTTCCTCCATTAAGCTGGTATCATCTGTTTCAATTCTTTCTTCGTAACGCTGACTTTGATCGCTGGCAGGGGGGCACTGGATGCAGAGCTTGTCAGATACATAAGTGAAGCATATCCCAAAGGAATTTGTTCAGTCTATTGCATCAGCAGGAAAGATGCTGAAGGACCGGGATCAGATTTTGAGTTGGTAGCAGTGATATCTGCTGGCAAACATAGTCCACAAAATTTCTGGTGTGTGACTGCATTTAATTTATAAATTTCTCTTGTTCCTCTCCAAGTAGTTTTAGCTATTAAAATACTCCATTTGGTGGTTAATGTAAAATACGAAGAATGAACAATCTTTTTTCTTCTCTTCTTGTATGCTGGATCGGCCTCTTTTCTTAGGTTGCTGCCCTTTAACAGTGACTTTTCGAAAGAGGCTTCAATTCCTCTACTCTTTTTACGTTTTCCTATCCTTGAGCACCTCTTTTGTGGTAAGCCAAGGTTTTTGTAATTTCTTTTCTTAAATTAAAGGTTAACATTATAAAAAAAAAAAACAATCTTTTTACTTCATTTCTTCAGTAAGTATACAACAAGCAGTACTATAGTTTCTGTATTTTATGTGTTGTCTTCTGCAAGATTTTATAAACATGGCAATCAAAGAAAATCTAGTATTTTATTGGAAAGCATACTATAACAGAATGGACAATGGAAGGAACATAGATTGTTGGATTGTCAGCATCCATGGAAACGATAGATGTTGATGGAGGGGGTGTGGGACTCTAGTGTCATCTTCTGATTGCTACTTTCTCTCCGTCATCATCATCATTTCCATGGATGGTGATGATCCACTTGACTATGGTTTTTCTATAGTCCTTTTGATTATGGCATACATTCTTTTTTTTATTGGGTATGTTATTTTATTCTGCATACTGAGGATACATACTTGGCCAGTCTTTATGGTCTCATCGTACAAATTCATGTGATTATCGAGATGCTTAGTGACCTGATCTTTCTGACTCTCTTCTCATTATGAAAAATGTTTGTGTAAAACTTTTGAGAGTGTGCAAATTGATTATGGTATGTGTTGAATGATGTGTTGCAGTTGGTGCTTGGTTTTTTGACTTCTTATTTTGTTTTACCAACTCAGCAATGGTAGTTGGCGCTCAGTTTGGAGGATTGAGTTCAAGGATGAACTACAACTTGTGGAGTTAATAGGAAAGATTGAGGTAACTGAAGCATTTTTTGTTCAAAAACAGTTAAAAAAAAAAAAAAAACTTTGTTTCATTCTTAAGTAATTGCTAAAAGAAAATGGTCGCGTGAAAGTGAATGTTTGTGACTTAATGCATATTTGCCAGAGGCTTCCATTTTCCAGTAAAGGATTTTGATTTTCCTTTAGAAGTATCCACATTAGCAGTAATTTTTGTGGCTCTCATGTCAATCATTGTCACTTTATAAATTTTCAGGTTGATGCTCATTATTTTGAGGAAGGAAATGTGCAGTTAGACACCAACCATGAATGCAAGGACTCCACAATTTTCCAGGTCATCTGGGGAAATTAATATATGTTCCTTGATCAATTTTTTTGAAGTTTGTTTATAAAAACAATCCTTTGAATATTCTGATGTTTGAGATCACCCATTGATTATCTAAATACATGCAAGTGCCGCAGTTGAAATCATGCAACCAATGTGTTGAAAAAGACTTTTTGTTCTTTTTCTGTTTTTTCTAATAAATGTGTGAAAAGATTTTCACATGTTCTATTTTGGAATCATTGTGAAGGCATTCTTTGGGGAATGAAAGGTCACACTAGGTATTGTTAGGTACTATATTCCTGGTTCCTCATATGAAAAACTATTCAAAGGATAAGGCATAAGTCTCTCTAATTTTCTTGCTCAGTTGTGAATTAAGTTGGTGTTTTGACTTATAAGAATTCTTGCTTCCGGCTTTAGGAAAGTTTAACTTTGGGTTTAATTCTAGGAATTTCTTTTGTAGCTTGCTGAAGAATGTGCAGTTTCTTTAGCGAACATCATTCGCCACCATGAGTCAGAGTATATTGCGGCACTTGAGGTACTGACTCTTCTCTCTGGCACAATCTGATAGGAAGAGGGTGTTCTTTGATAAAAGTATTCTTACATTTATGTATTGGCAGGCATCATACTCAAATCTGCCCGACACCACTTTCAAGGTATCAATCTACATTTATGGGTTTCCAAGAAAACAAATAGGAAATAAAATAGTTAGGGAAAGTATACTGTAATCTAATGGACAGTTGCGACCTCATAGTCCATTTGGGATTCCCATCATCTTATGGACTGATGGACAGTGGTTTAAGAGGGGAGATTAACCAAAAAGAAGATGACCATGTCCAGTCTCACTCTCTATCCACACATCATTTCATTGGATAGTGACTACCGTTGTCATTATGGTTTTCCAGAGTCCATATGGTATACTTTTGCATATGTTGTAAATACTGTACTAAACAATTTTGTGAACCTGCGATATGAAACTTATGAATTAATAAATACTGATCTTGTGATGCAGGACCTTCGAAGGAAACTCCCAGTTACACGCACACTATTCCCATGGCATAATACTCTGCAGTTTAGTCTCACCAGAGACCTAACAAAAGAGCTTGGCATTGGAAACTGATTGATATTCTTTGGCGGCTAGAGAGAGAAGGTATTTTCGTGTTGGGGCTTGAGAGAGAATGTTTCTTCCTTGTTTCTTGACCCTCTATTCTTAGTGGGGTTAATTCTGGGTTTTAACCCCCCCACCAAATGTTTGTGTTTCCCAAGATCACACCATATAATCTTACATTGTATATTGAAATTGGCGGGGTTAATCTTTCCAAAATTGTGTGCATGTTTGGTTACGACTGATTGTTGTGAAATTCATTGTGGGTTCTCAAATTGTTATGACTTTGAAGTTTCACTGTGATGTTTGGGAGCAATCTCAGAGAATGTAGATGTAAAATGGAGGGCACATTCTTTTGGTAGAGAAATTCAAAACCATGAGAAATTTGCCTGGCTCCTGTTGACTGTATCTAAATGCCATGGTCATTGCTCATTAGTGTAGGAGAGTCATACTCTGGACATGTTTTCCATGTCTGGTGGTCAGCATGTTCTTTTCATGCTTTATGTGCGTGCATGCGTTTGTTTGTTTGTGTGTGTGTGTGAGAGAGAGAGAGAGAGAGAGGAGGAGAGAGAGAGAGAGA